TCCATTGTTACTTAACACTTCCATTGTTACTTAGCACTTCCATTGTTACCTAACACCGCCATTGTTACTTAACACTTCCATTGTTGATGGAAGTGTTAAGCCTTAATCCTGTCTTTCTCCCCCCGGGAGGAATTTCGAAAAATCCCTTCTTAGTGTGCGTTTTCGTGACGTACCCTAACTGTGTACCAAATTTCAGCTTCCAACTCCTAACCGTTTGGGCTCTGCACTTATTATTATTATCATCAACCCGTCTCGATTATATTATAGATTAAAAAGGGTAAAGTGGGAAAAGGATAAATCCACTTTTACAGATGAAAACAGTATCAAAGATTGTCAATATGTTTCATGAACAGGGTTGAATTAATGCATGAACCTATCTGGCCATGGCTAGGGCACAGTGCATCCCATTGCCTTCTTAGAGGCTTTATCTAATTTCTAATATTTTTGAATTGTATCTATATAATTCTTTAATTAAAGAAATTGGGCCAAAAGTTCTTAAAACAGCCTTGCTTATGGATCTGTTTTCATTGCATTAGATTTGTTCTCTTCCTATTGGACTATTCTTTAATTATCTATATTTGTAAATTTGTTGATAGAATTATATATATAGAATTTTCTGTAATTTTTACATTACAGTAAATTCTATATATTTCTATTGTTTCTCATTTAATGTATTTTGAAATTTATCATCATCTTTATCCTTTTGTTTCACCTCTTTATGATGGGTATTCCTTATTATGTCTTTTATTTTATTTTATTAGCTTTTGAGGAACATAGAATACAAAAGTCTTTCTTAATTTATTGATCGTATCTAAATATTTTTTTCCTGCTTGCTTAAAAAAAAATATGTATATTATTTATTAATTGCATTATAAAGATAATTTCAAGATCACTATAAAATATGCAATTTTAATACATAATTTATGTTGTAATCTATTAAGCATACATGTATACAGTATATTAATTTTAAAATATCAGTCATAAGATTATACAGTAACAATGAATTTTTAGAATTATTCCATGAAGAACTTTTAGCTTATTTTTTTTTTTTATCAAATAAAAAATTATAATATATGAACTTTTTTCTTAATTAGGAAACTGATGGATATTCTGGTGCTGACATTAAACTTGTTTGCAAAGAAACAGTTATGAATTGTATAAGAAATATTTTCAATTTACTAGAAAACCATATTCAAGGTAAGATTTCATAATGGAAATATCAACTTTCATTATTTTTAAAATTATTCTTGATATTAGAAGTATACCACATTGAATATTTCATGTAATGTGAAAAAGAAATTATAACTTATTTGAGATTTTTAATTTATGTATTTTGATAATAATTGTTTTAAGATGATAAAAATAATTTATATTTATTATAAATAGGGCCATTGAGAAGGGGAAGCTGGAGATTCTTTCCTGGGTCAGAGGGTCCTGTAAAAAACCTACCCCTATAAAAGAAGGTTATTTTTATTAACAAAAAATAAAAATGTTTAAGACTGTTTTTTGTTAAAGAAATATTTTACATGTATCATTTTTTCAAAAAATATGTGTAATAGAGACTTTATAGGAGCTAATGGACTCCGTATAAACTCTTGATGGCCTTGAATATAAAACATAATGAAGAACAGCATTTAGGGCCTATAGAAGATCATTTCTATCTTCCAAGAGTACCCTGAAGGAGATGCAAGATGTACTTGCACCTTCTAGCTTAAGCAAAAAAATATGGAAATAAGAGAAAAAACAATAGAATATAATGAGAATTGCAAAGTTTCGTTAATTTTCATAACTGATATGGCAGTAATCAATTTCAATTACTTAGTTCAGTTAATCATTGCATTGTGCTAGTGCATTGACGCACAATAAATCTGAAATATATCCTACAGGTGCCACTATCTTTAGAAGAGTAATGAGGATAAGACTTGATTGAGTCTTTGTCGTCATTTTTCTGGAGATACAAACAAAGGTGATCTTCTACATTTGCTGCTATTCGTTAGGATGTTTTATGTTCACTATTTACAGATTAAACAAGATGCAGTATATCTAAGTGAAACGTATTCAAATGAAATGCTTAAAAGTTACCATATCCAAAATTACTGAACAGTCATGTGTCAATCTAATAACACAACTGCATTTGAAAATCTACAGAGATTATTTTAGTTTCAGTCAGTTTTCATTTAGTCCAAACAATTCTGCTGTTAGATTTTGTGCCTTTTCGGTTGTCATCTTCCACTTTTGTTCCTGAACAGAAGTGGAAGACGAAATAACTACTGGTCTATTCATTTGCTTCTTGACTGAAAAACTAACTGTTGATAATGTCATTTGCTAAAGGATAAACGTGTATTCTTCATGAAATATTATAAACTGTAATACTATGTTATGACATAAAAATAGGTGAACAAACAATATTTGGTTAGCTACACGAAAACATACTTTGTCTCTGGAATATTCATGTAGCTTTTACATGAGTAAACATTATTTATCTTTGTAGAAATTTCGTGAATGTGAAAACAGCATGAATGGAAAAAATTGTTTCGTTTTGGCAATGGAAACAGTTATTTTTAATAAATTGCTAGCATTTTTTCTGTGACTTCCTTTTTATAGAAAAGACATAGCATGTAAAATTATTCGTTTAATCGCTAAAAATTTTTGTTTTCCATCCATTTCTTTTGTTGTCAACTTCTGTCTTGATAGTTAATATAAGAAAGGAAATACTAAAATTCCAGTAATCAGTATTTAGGATAGTCAATTTCAAAAGTTCTCTCATACTTGTAAACGCCTATGCTTCACATCTCCTGCAAGTATTATTTACTTATTATTAAAAAATATCACTAATGCAGTAAAATTGCAAGAAAAAAATGTACAAGAACTCATATAAAGTGCAAAAGCCCATGTAGTATAATAATAAATTCCAGCAATGAGCTGGGTAACTTTCTGGCAAGAGTTAAAATATGTATGATGCCATTTGTTATGAGATTTTATTGTTAAATACTTTTATATTATTAATTATTATAAAATGGCAAAGCTTAATTTGCAGGGTAGAAATGAGTTTTATAAAAAAAAATTGTAAATTCTAAAAAGGAGTAAAATTTTCATTAAGTTTGATCTCATTCAAGATACGACATATGATTCTCGCTGTTTCTCCACTTTTAACCCTCCTCTTGACCTTTAACCACCTTAATCCCCTAATACACAAAACTCCTTTGCAAAAATGTCAGAAATTCTACTTTTTTCCCATTTTTTGACGTTTCAAGGTCTCGGAGTCCAAAAATGTAAAAATCTGGGGAGTCAGTTTTTTGACCGATTGCATACTTTCCATCTGTTATATATAATAGCCCAGAGAATAAAACAGACAACTGTAGTTCCAAGATAACATTGAAAATGCTCAATTTAAATAAATTAATAATATATGTACTCTTTAAAAAGAAAAAGAAAATTAATTCATGGAAAAAATATTTTGTTCTAATTTTAAATTATAAATTTTATAACATATTTGTTGCTGTAAAAATTGTTTTTTTTTTTCTTTTCAGGTCGTGAATTACCATCTGTTTCCTTAGAATCAATTAAAACAACGGATGTATTGCTAGCAATATCTCGCACCAAACCTTCTGCCCGTAATTTTGCGGATCAGTACAATTCCTGGCAAGAAGAATTCGGATCTAATTAAGAATAAATGTACAAATTTCGTCTTTCAATTTTTGTTTTCTTTAATTTATTACTATAAAATTGTAATTAGACATTTAAAATAATAAATAAGGCTAAAAATGAAATTTAAGTATTTGTTTACTTGAAATTCGTTTTATTTTTATTTTTAATCGTTATCGTTTATGAATGATACTTTTTCAGGAATCGTAATTCTTGAATAGTTCTGCTTGTGTGGACCGAAAATCGTTGTTCCTGAACAATATTATATCCAAAAAAAATTGCATTCCTTTCCCACAGAATAATGTAAAATAGGCCAGAAGCAATCACTAGGACAAATAGATTCTTTGTGGACAGGACCATCGAGAGGGATGGGAAACTGGGGATTTTCTCCCAAACCCTGAGATAACTTAGGGGCCGGTAGTGGTTTTTACCAGTACATCTATAAAATTAATGTTATTTTCAATAATATAAAATAAGATCCTTAAGACTACTATTTAATTAATATAGAAACATTTTATGTATAGCCTATCATTTGTTCAAAAATACAATATCTAAAGGGGCCCTCTCTATCTCCAGGCCCCCATACAACGGTCCCGTTTGTGCATATTTCACAAATAACTTTTGTTTCTCTAATCTTTACATGATTCTTATATCTAATTCTCTGAATTTCCGGTGCTCTGGTATAATAATTTCAACAATCAGTTCAAAATTAACTTAAGTGCTCTGGTACTGTTCTTTTTACTAAAGTATCAATAATAAAGTTAAAACTACAATATTATAAATTATTTCGTACAGAATTGGCATGAAATGCAGATGAAAAGCCAATTAGAAGTGCAAACAATTAGATGAACTGTCATATTTTCAAGCAAGTAAATTCTATTACTCTGATTTCAGATATATATATGTTACTGTAAAAGTTCGAAATCTGATATATCTTAAAAATTACCGGTAAATACGAAGATTTATCTGTATTGACTGGTAAAAGTCCGAAATTGCTGATGAAATGTCTACATCTGGGGCTTTTACAGAAAGATATTGGTAAATGTCGGGATTTAGCATTGGCTCATGTAAAAAAAGTACTCTATTCATATGTATCTGTTGTTTTGTAAAGTACCAGAAAATGAAAGTATTCAGCTTCAAAAAGACGTAATTTTTAATAATGACGTAAATATTTTTTCATACCACGTAGCCTATGATATTTTTAAGTGTTTAAACCTAAAAAACAACATTTTTAAAAAATTTTTATCTATGATGATATATATTTTATTATTTCTATGGTTGTACTTTTTAGCGTTCGGGTTGAGAAATCCAATGGCCGCTTGCCACTAGATTTGTTAAGTTAACCAGGAGGCTAAACATACAGCCGTTCTACCTCGACACAAGTACTCTGTGTCGAGCTCTGGTTATAATAAATATTAAACGATACAATCAATTGGCCTGCATATCAATTAAGTCAATCGTGGATTTATTTCGTTATATAGGATGGGTTTTCAATGCTTTTTTCTTTATTTTGACAAGGTTCATATAATCTTAAATAAGTAACGGTAGATTCAATAGTCATTCTTATGCTTGCGATCCAGTTCCATAAATATCCGAGATCTTCCACCATGACTAATAGCAATGTGGTCTTCACGTATCACGTTAAACAGTTTATAAAAACAAACGTTGTAAAGAATTTCTTCTTTTCCAGCAGACACTGATGATATTAGTTTTTCTTCACTCTACTGAAGAGGAACTAATAGCATCAGTGTCGGCTGGAAAAGTTCTTCAAACGTCTGTAGTGAACAGATTTCAGTTAAAAATTCATAAAATGTTCTACGTTTTATGTCATCCATTCTACTGCATTAAAAGCAAGACTTAAACAGAAAAAAATCCGACTTATACGATTTATTCATCTACACTGCTTATTTTTCGGCAGATTTATTTTCAGAAATCAAATAATAATCATTACAATAATAATTTCACTTTCTTAATTTAGCCTATATTTTTCAATATATTGTATATTGCAAAACAACAGATACATATGAATACAGAACTCTTTTCACTCGAGCCGACGGTAAATCCGGACATTTACCAGTATTACTCGGTAAAAGCCCGAAATGTAGACATTTCATCAGCTATTTCGTACTTTTACCAGTCAATACCTGTAAATCTCCGTATTTACCGGTAATTTTTAAGATTTACAAGACTTCGGACTTTTACAGTAACATATATATTCATTTTATACACTTCGATCCCTCGCTGTCCTGTTCAGAAACTTCGTGACGATTTATCGATTTCCGTTCCATCGTTTCTATTATTTTCTTTCTCGTGACGGAAAACAGTGACGTGGTGATTTTAAGCTAAGTATTTTATGTAGAGTAGATAGATGTCCGTTATCATTATAAAGTTTATTATAATTAACTTATTGGGCTGCATTTGGAAAAATTATAGACCTATAAATTCGAGAACGGAGTTAGACAGATTAAAGTCGAAACCAGACATGGAAACCATAGGGACAGGAGGTCCCAATTAACTATATACAAACTTCTGGTACAGGCGGGAAGTCACGTTATTTCAATCCAAAGTTTCCCTTGAAAGTAGTTAGATGACCGGAACGACTCTATTGCTAACGAGAAAAGTATGATGCACAGGGGCGGAAATAGCAGAAAATTCAAATACTGTATTAAGTCAGTTTATGAAATGCAACAAAGACAATTAAAAAACAATTTATTTTTGAACGTGATCTTATTCTGGAAATATTATATATGAATTTCTAAAATAAGTTTAGTTTGCACGCTCTTCGTCACTAATCAGTGCTGCACAATGATACAAGACAGAAAATGGAAAAATAAAAGTACGTTGCAGAGCCCCCGAGACCCCATATCAAAATCTTTCCTGAAATGCGGATTATTCATCACTCTTTTATCATGCTCAATAACATTTTGTTATTAATAATAATATAATTTTATGCTTATTTAATTCCAATAAAATTTTCATTTACTCAATAAATAATAATAAATCTGTTAATTTTCTAAGGATATTTGAATTAAAATTCTAATAATTAATATAAGTTTCGCATCGTATTTAAATTATCTCAAAAGAAATTAATTAAAATCGAAACAATATTTCTCAATTTAAGCCAAAGTAACAATTAATTATTCTCCGTTTGTTGTAAATTTTTCATTGTGAATAATGCATTTTCAGTTATTCTTGTTTTGATTACTTTTATCTGAAAGTTTAAAGCTTTATACACGTGAAAGTATCTCAATTAAAAGATAATTGTAAATCCATCTTCAATATTCAAAAAACTTATTATTAATTTTTCAATTTTTAAGTCACAAGAGATGCAAAAGGGAAGTTTGTTTTCATTTTTTAACATTCGATTATTGATTATTTATAATTTCAATTTATATATCAGGTGACGAATCGATCGAAAATGCTATAAAGATACGTGGATGATCGTCATTTTTAGTGTTTTAGATTTGCCGATTGAAAATTCTATGGAAAATTGGATTTGCAAATTGCACTGGAAGAACTCGATACTTGATTATAGAAGAAAATCCCGTTCGATTGGATATATTTGCCTGTGTTACCTCTTATAAATTGGAAACGATGTACAGAATTAATTTTTAATTTCAATTGGAGAGTGTTTCGGCGTCATTGTGCTATCAATGGTAAAACTCGTACAGTTTTCCTCACTTGGATACAGTGTTCCAATCAATTCCAGTTCCATAAAATGTAGGAATACAGAATTTTCGAGACGCTTTCGAATATATCGACAATATTTGTTTTTGTAAATGTGGTGATTCCAGTTTTTCCCGTAATGGCGATTCTGCCTAGTCATTACGGGGTTTCTGGACAAACAAAAAACCCACGGAGGAGGGTGAGACCTTGACGATGGTTCCGTGGCTTCCTACAGAATTTATATTCTGTGACTAACATCACCCGGCAGAATAATTTGAAGATATAATTGAATCTTTTATGTTTTATTAATAGTTTTGAAAATGTTCTTCAGCTTTAAGAACTTAATTTCTTAAGAAGCTTCTTAAGCCATTCAATATCTTACATGCAACACAGGCTACATGAAATACAGAGAAGACGAAAAATCACTTTTCTGAATTTGGCATTGTAACAAGTTAACGAATTAAATAAAAGAATTATTTATAATTATATACTGTATTTAACATTTTAAATTTCCTTTATCATACCAACTAAAATAATGTATCTGTTTTAAAGTAGAATACAATGACGGAAGAGGATATACCGTATTGTATATATTAATGTAAGATTTCTTAAAAAAGGGGACATCGGGCCATTTGATCAAAACCTGAAATTTACAGAGGCTTCAGGCCCTAGAACCTATGATAGTTCTCCACGGCCCCTTCTTTATGCATACATAAACATATATTATATAAAGGAAGGGAAATAAAAGCGTATTTATAGCCACCAGTTTATTAACTGACAATTATTGATTGTTTTTACACATTCATCTATGTTGCAACACAATTGTGTTGCTAGTAACGCATCATAATAGTGATAATGCTAGATCCTAAATGTCTTTAAGCTTAAACACACTTAGAATAAAGCAGTAGGAAAAAGTTATAATAATATTAAAGATTAATTTTAAACATTTAAAATAATATTTTTCTTAAATGTATCATTTAAAACGAATACTTTTAAGACAAAGTTTTCTCTCCATAGAGACCTTACAACCATTCATAATGCTAACAACTTGTTTTATATTACTTTAACATTTTCCAAAAATAAATAAATATTAATTAATTTTAGTATAAAATTTTCTTATTATTTCTCATTTAGAAAATATTATAAATAATTTTAAATAACATTCTATAGTATCTTATAATAGCATGTAAACAGCATCCGTTTCGTGATGCTGTGTGTTATATTTTCAACTGTCCTATTTCTGAAACTGTCTCCCTTTCACTTTTTCTCTCTATTTTTTTTTATTTTTTATTTTTTCGGTGGTGACGTTCATTTTCTCTTCATCGAAACAAACTCATCTGACGTTCCTATAGCAACACTATACTTTTCATACCAGTAGCAGTATACGGGATAAGCGCATCTGAACATCACTTCCCTACTTACTCAGGTAAATTTTCTGTTTAAAAATAAGATTTAAAAATATATTTCTCGTTTAAATTATAAATATTTTCACTTTAATTACTAATTTTTATCATTGTTGAGCGTTTTTTTCCACTTTATCCAATTTATTTTAATTAATTAATTAAATTAATAATGATGATTTTACAGAATTAAAGTTTAATTTAATATTTTAATGAATATCAATCGGTAAATTTTAAGTAATAAATTTAAATTTTTTATTAATAAAAATTATTCTATATGTTAACAGATAATCGTAATTACTGTACGTATCATTTACATGAAATTTTAATAATCAAACTCTTCATTATGATAATTACTGGTTAATAAATAGTGTTTAATGATAATTCTTTAACAGAAAATTAACCTTTTTTTTTATAATCATACATTAGAATTAATTACACTTTATGATTTATTTAACATTATAATTTAATTTGTACAGTACAAAAAGTTCAATTTCTGAAGTTTCTATAATATTTTCAAGTTTAAAACTGTATAGAAAATATAGGGCATGAACAATTCTTATCGTTTAAATCCAAACATAATTCTTATCTAACTAAAAATTAATTGAATCCAATGAGTTTATGTGATTAATCTATGGCGAATCATTCAAGCTTTACCTCACGTCTGTTAATGGAATGTAATTATTATTGGACACATTTCATGAATTGTTTGGCATTTATTGATGATAATCATTATTAGGATTTATTCAGTCGTAAAAATCGGGCCAATTCTTTACCGTTTTATGTGAAAATTCAATCTAAAACTTCAATTTAAAGAAATGAATTCCTGTAAAGTTATCATATATTTTATTATTATTATTATTAACAGTTTTTATCGATTAATTCAGTTTTTTTCGAAAGTATTATTAATTTTATTCGAATAAATAACCAACAGTTTCAGTAGACCGTAAAGGGGCAAGTGCACTCCACTCATTTTCTATAGAAAACTACATACAAATGAGGAATTAGAGGGGTATTTTGACATTCTACAACATCCGTTTAATTCTTTTTTCTGTATGTTTAACATATGAAAAACGAATTTTTAACTCAAAAAATAGAAAAAAATGGGCTACACTCTAAAAAGATTAGTTTCGTTCTTTTGTGGAAGTGGCATAGTTTGACCACTATTTTTTCCCATCTCCTCCCTTCGAACGAGGGATTAAAAAAAAGGATCATTTCTCCAATAGAATAATAATAATAATCGAATATAGAAAAAAAATGAACAAAGTTCTCGATTAATTTTTTATTTATTGAGAAGTTTTGAGAGGAATAAAAAAAAAAAACACTTTTGCACGTTAGAAAAAAAGTGGAACAGTTAATTGATTTATCCTTTATACGTATCTAAATATCGTGGAATGGCGCAGATCCGCTTCATGTTGTCACGCAATTTCTTTGACGTGAGAAATCGTCAATGTCACGTAAATAAGTAGATTTATTTATTTTTTTTCATCATTATTATTTTTTCAGTGGTATTGGGATCAAACTGCAAATGGGACAGGGACGCAGGAACATAGAAACAATTCACGTCCTTCTTTATATCGTTCTCGAACTTACTGGGAAAATTGAACAGAATATTTCAACAAATGCATATTTTTTAAACCGATTTTTTAAAAATATAAACCATTAAAATTTATGGTTTTTTTCCCGAAAATAATATCTTAAAAAATTTTATTTTATTTTTGGAAAATAATGATTTAATATCACAAAACTCCTTTTGTGATATTCTTGTATTTTACACATACAAACGATTTTTGCGGAAATGTTCAAGGTCTGTTCAATGTAAATAGAAACCAATTGCTTTGAATATTAAGTCAATTTAAAATTTATTTATTACAAAACATTTTTAATCGTAATAATTTAATTTTTTATGTTATTATCCTTTAATACATATCATTAATTTACATAAAAAATTTTTAATTTATAAAGATACAATGCTATATAATTCTAAAAATATGTTGTACAGTAGTTCTATAGATATAGGCCTACTGTACTACACATTTATAGAAGTCATATGATCCTATTTTTAAAATCTATTTTACTTATTTCTTTATCCTATTTTGAGCTCACATTTTCCTTTCTATCCAATTTTTCAAAAATTTTACAATGCTTTTTGCCATTAAAATTCGATTTAATGATTATAAAGCATTTCATTTTATAAAATTAAATCTTCTAAATTAATTAAACGTTAATAATTAAGCAAATATTAATTACAGAACTCTAACTTTTTGGATAGATGAAGATACAGAAGATAGTATTTTTATCATCACTTTTTTTCTTAGAATCTCAAGCTATTACTTTACAACCGAATCGATTTTTCTTAACGAATAATTACTTAAACACTTCAATTAAAGTAAGTATATTTTTTTTCCATTTTAACATATAAAATTAAGTTTAATAATAAATAATTCTCTTAATTGCCGAATTATTATATAAAAGCATAGAGAAAAACGTCAAGACTCCGACGAAGGTGAGCAAAACTTTAAAATTTCGAATTTAATTTAATATATTAATTATTATAAAATTTCTTATATCTGTAAAAGTAGAAGATCTCGAGCTTTCTTGTAATTTCGGACAAAATTCTGATCTTACGTTTTGCGATTGGGTCCATCCGAAAAATGCCTCCGATCGTTTTCGTTGGCAAGTCAATCGAGGATCGCGATATTTGTTGTTGGGTGGTCCCGAAAACGATCGAACATCCGCTGATTACGAAGGTATTTTAATCTATATTTAATCAATTTTTAAGAAGATTCTTACACTGATTTGTGTATTAAATATTCCTTTGCTTTCAGGTGGTTATGCTGTTTACGAAACATCCCTGTATCCTTCGGATAATGTGGATGATAATATCGCAGATAACGCATTGCTTTTAAGTCCAAATATTTCACGAACTGAACCGCAGGGGACTTGTTTAACGTTTTATTACTCGATTGAGGGACTCAGTGCTGATAAATTACGAATATTGCTCTATCGTCACGCAGATAAATCAATGATACCTCTTTGGGAGAGCAGCGACATAATGACCGAAAACTGGCAGAAAGGAGAAGTAGTTTATGCCATTGGAGAGAAACATCAGGTTGGAATTTCGTCAAGAAATTTCATTTTCTTAAACCTGTGTAATAAATAATTATATTTTATTGTAGATCGTCTTTGAAGCTCTTCCTAAAAAGTTAAAGGATTCGGAACGATGTTTTCGTGGTTACATTGCAATCGATGATATAGAATCTAATGAAGTCGGAAGTGATTCGTCCGAAAATTGCTTAGGTCAATTGAAAAACGTTACCATTTTATTATTTTCTGATTATTATTATTATTTGTTTTGATTAAATGTAAAATATTGACAACAGGACATTGTACATTCGAGGGTGGATTTTGCGGTTGGGTTAATCTAGACGAAGAGGAAGAGGATGATTTTGACTGGACGTTGAGCAGAGGAAGTCAAAGTTATCTAACAGGACCGTGTCGAGACTTTACTAGCTTTAATAAAGATATTCCAACAGGTAAAATTTTAGTTACTGTAATTACATAACAATGAATCATTTGACTTAGTCCAATCTTAAATTCATAATATTTAGGTGGTTACGCTTCAATTGAGAATGCCAAACCGAGAAAACCGGGTGATAGAGCCGAATTAGTCAGTCCTTTATTTCAAGCTACTGGTTAGTGTTTTTAAAACCTATTTTTAGTTGTTACGAAAATATTTAAACAATGTCGTTTCGGTTTCTTAGGAGATAGTAATCCCGTATGCATGAGATTTGCCACTCACATGTTTGGCAACGGAGTGGGAATCTTAAGAGTCAAACAGCAATATCAACTAGATGATGAAAATGTAGAAAGAGTGTTATGGGAAATAGGAGGGGATGCCGGAAACCATTGGTATATGGCACAAGTATCCGTTTCTTCTCCCAGTCCTTATAAGGTAATTTCTTAATACTGTAATTATTATATGATGCAAATATAGTCTGTTATAAGTCAATATTAGATATAGCTAAACCCCTATATAACACCCTCCTAAATAGCGCAGTTCTTCCAGTGAACACTTGTGAACGGATCACCCCATAAATATTGTATAGAGTATGTACTTCGATATATGTGAATTACTAAATGTATGATTATGCATTGAAAACGACATTAATATCGCCAAATTTTCAAATTTATACATTTATTATTAGCTTATATATGATTTTTGTTTGAAATATTAATACTTCGGTTTAGCGCTACACTCGATTGTGCCACTAAATCGAAGTTTAATTATAATTATTGTTTATTTACTCTATATTTTTAATATGTGCAGAATAATATAGTTAATAATTAAAATAGTATAGCGATTTCTTTAGACTTAATTTTAATTTATATAAAGTAAACCATAAAAATAATTTTGTAATTGAGTAAAATTTATGGTTAAAAACTTAAAAAAATTTTCGAACAATATACATAATTACATAAACTATAATTAATAAATCATTAGGTAGCGTACCTATTATGTTTTTAACCGTCGTTTTCGTGTCAAGTAATTGCTCTTTAATTAATAACCATGATTTAGAAACTCATTAATCATATTAAAGTGTTCCCAAAGGATCAATAATGGTTTCTACAAGTCAACTATTCGCTACTGGGTACATATATTAGTGTGTTGCAAACTTATTAAAGGAATTCTTATTATTTAAAAATTGTATATTTAAAATACTGTATAATAATCAGAATAGTCTAAATATAATAGTTACGGACAATTTCTGACTTAAATTTGTATAAACTAGTTACATTTATTCCTACTCACTTATAAGTAATATTTCCAAAAAACACTCTCTAAAACCAAAATTAAGCACAAAATAAGTTAAAAAGCTATTTTATTTAAATCCTATATCATTATCATTCTGTATGTATATAAAGAGCGAAAAATGCATTTAATTTATTAATAAATTTCCTTTCTTTTTAGCTTTTGTTCGAAGGAATAGTTGGCAAAAATACAATGGGTACTATAGCTATCGATAATATCTCTTTTAGACCCGGATCATGTCCAAGTGAATATTTTTTCTTGTTTATTTTCTCTTTTAAAATAAATTATATATTCAATTTGACTTTTCTTTCTCAACAGTTTATCCTCAAACTGCCGCTGAGCTCTCTGGTGAGTTAGGCTATTCTTCGTAATTATCAGTATAATTTCGTCACGTTTTCGTGAGAAATAAATAAATTAATTTCTTTTATTCTAGCCGATTGCAATTTTGAAGAAAATATTTGCAATTGGATCAATTCTCCTCCTCAAGCTGGAGAAGATGATTTCGATTGGAACAGAATTCAAAATTATGCTCACGTTCAAAGTCTTCCACTTATAGACCATACAACTGGAACTTCCGAAGGTTAATATATCTATTTTATATCATAAATCTGTTAACTTAATCATTATCATTGATAAATTTAATTATTTTAGGCTTCTTTATGGCGTTATCTAACACATCACCCTTACCACTTCGAGGAGGTACTAGAGCATGGTTAATCAGTCCAAATTTACCAGCTCCTGAAGGTCCTAGATGTATTGAATTCTATTATTATATGTTCGAACGTACAATCGATTCTAGTGGTCCAAATTTGGGTAGCACTCGAGTCTATACGAGACCAGCACTTCCGGAGCAATCTTTAAATATAACTCCTATCTGGAGATTAATCAATCATCAAAGAAGACAATGGCTTAGAGCTAGAGCGGCTGTAGTTATTGGACCAGAAAGACAAACACCGACAGAACCTTTTCAAGTTAGTTTAAACGAGATTTATTAAATGATTAATAATTTAATAATTTATTTATATAATAAGTGTTATAAATATATTTAGGTGATCATTGAAGGATTATGGGGTCACGGAAGTGTCGGTGCTATTGCTATTGATGATATTAGTTTCTTCGATGGAGATTGTGGAAGTAAGTAACATAATATTCTTTTATTGGGCTACAGTTTTCAAATTGTAAACTTATAGATTCACACTCATTCGTCCGTTCGCATGTCTGTCTGTCTTTCCTTAATCTCGAGAACGGAGTTAGATAGACGAAAATCGAGACCTGATATGGATAGCTTGGGGGTCGAAGGTTCCGATTAACTGTATACAAACTTCCGGTCTTGATCGGAAGTCATGTAATTTTTTAAATTAAAATGTGATTTTAAATTGCAGTCCAGCATTGTAACGATGTCACAATTGCTCATTTCTTATAATATTCACAGTATTAACCTTAATTTTTTATGCATTTTCAATATAAAATTTCTTTCTAAATAAACTTTCAAAATCTCATTAAAAATCTTTTTTACAATTAATAAAAAATTGCACCTTAAAATTTTAACATCGAACATATGTAACAGTAGTAAATATTTAATTTTATTTCTTAGAAAAATCTATATTTTATTATCCTTATCCAAAAATATGTATGTTTCAATTTATATAAGCTATATATAATATTTTATTGTTAATTAACCTATTTTATTTTATAATAAAATAATTTTATATTTTATTCCTATATATTTAAGCATATAAAAAAGTTTTTTTTTTACAGATTATCCTAATGACGGAACACCAATCAGAGGTATATCATAAAATATTAATTACACAAGAAATTAACATCGTAACATTGTACTACATTTTTAGATATAGAAGTCAAATAATATTGTTTGATTTTTTTTTATTTTCTCGTTTCCTGAATACTGTAAACCTTCCTATTTACTAGTACTAAAGCCATTCTTATATTGTTCTGTGAAACATTTCCTGGCTGTCGACAAACGAACACAACCAGAACAGAACATCTAAAAATATATCCCAGTTTATTTAATAAAAGAGTTGAAGTTAGGAAATTTTATTACATATTTCTATTTGTGCATGTTTGAATTGTTATAGGGGAATGCTTCTTTGATAAAGATACTTGCGACTGGAGCGATAGAACAATAGCACCTCCGACATACGAATACGGAATTGGAGAAAGGGGTGCTTCAGTAAGATGGAGATTAGCTACTAGTATTAGTAGACCTGCTAATGTATTCGATCGTACTTTTGGAGGGACTAGTAAGCTAAAAATCTCTTTTTTTTTGTCTTATTAAAAAAAATAGTTAATTAATGATGGCTTTTTTCAGCTGGATTCGTCTTCTTCGATGTCTTCAATCAGCAGAGAATTCAAAAACCTATTTTAAGAAGTCCTATTTTAAAAAATAGTGATAGTGGAGTGAGGTGTTTCAGCTTTTGGTTTGTTAAATTTGGTAGAGGAGCGGATACTTCTCTGGCTGTACAATTAGTAGATTTATCCGAATCTGAATCCGAAAAGTTATCGCTTCTGTGGAAAGTTGGCGGTAAAGAAAAGAATCATATCAAAACTGTAGAATGGACTTACGCACAAGTTGAAATACGAATGGAAACAGATTATGCTGTAAATATAAATATTAAATTTATTTCTATTTATATAATTTGCTCGAATTTCAAGATAAAATAACTTGTTTTAATTTCTAGCTCCAATTTCATGGAGAATCTGCGGATGGAGGATTCGCTATAGATGATATCACTTTTAACGACGTGAAATGTTCCAGTACGTTAATATTAATTAAATATGATTACAGTATTAATTAAAATTGATTATTATAATAATTAATACTTTGTTATTTACTTATAGTTCGGCCGCCAACGGCTAAACCAATAGATGAAGAATCGGAGAATGAATCGGATTAAAAAAAAAATGAAATGATATAAATTGAATTTGTAAATAGATATTGTTGAAATATTTAATGTTTTAAATTTATTATTAATTTCTAAGAACAGATTATATTTAAACTACACCTACATCTAATTTATGAATAAAGAAATTCGTATTGTTATGCTATTAAAATGCTAAGTAGGTCATACCATGTAAACTTTAGAAATGATTTTTAAAATATGTTATAAGATAAAATAAAATTATAGAATATTTTTAAAGTTTTAATTAATATTTCACTCAAAGGCTTGTTATATATTTCTATCAATTAATTTAATTATGGTTAAGGATTATCTACTTAGAATATGTTCTCTAAGTTTAGTAGGATGATGTTAAAATGTATAAATAATTAAATCTTTAATATTAGCAATATACTTTGTTTAATTATTTGTAAAAAAATTATTTTCTTATAAAAGAATCTCTAGCAGTGAATTTTGTTTAATAACCGTTGTAATTAATAAAATTTCAAAAATAAGTTACAAATCTTGTTTATGTATACAGTATTTTAAACTTGACAAAGGTAAATAAGTTTGAATCATTTGTATATAAATACGAAATTCAATAATAAACTAATTGTAAAATGAATATAGGTATGGAATATAAAAGAATAATCATTAGATAGGTCTATAGTAAAAATATATCTTGATATTCAATATATTTCCATAATTTTTATTAACCTTCTCTTCTTGGGTCTTGGCAGTAGGATTTAAGACGTACAGTACCTAACCTAGGCTTTTGCCTAAGATCTGCATTTATGGGTCTTTCAGACACGCACACATGTTTGTTGATACTCGGTCTTTGTCCATTACTCAGAAGTAGTAAGATCCTAAACAATATTAATGAAATCAATAAAACAAATACAATGTTTTAATCACTTAACAAAAAAATTTAAGTCTGCATCAATTCATGTTTAGCTTTTACATTAAATTTTGCTTCCGAATCTGAGCTAAACGGCCCTCTTTTTATGCGCCAGTAATAAACTTTTTACTTTATACTGGTTGTAATTAGTAAAGTTCAATGGCGTGCCGTCATAAGAAGCGGTGGATGCGCCGCTTCCCTTGTATTTTCTAAAAAATAAATACATATTAATTTTAATTATACGAAAATAATCGCACAATATTTTATTATAACCGCATTATGTATCTTATTACAAATTTCTATACTACACGTGAAAAAAAAAGATAAGATCGCTATTGTATATTTGAATATTAGTGGCGGAGTAGCGGAGTGGAAACGCTGTATTGTCAGCATTCAAAAAGCCGGATTCGCGCATGCGTTTTACAGAGCACCAACCTCACCCGGTTTAGCCGGTGGAAGCCTAGGACCTCGGGTGGCTGCTATACGTATAACGCATCCAATTCTATCCAGGACCGGTTCCGGGCTGTTAGACGCCCTCCCTCGCCCGATTACGTGAATCACGAGTAAATTTATAACTTAACCCAACCGATAAGAATTTACCTGTATGTTTTTATGATAGTTTTCTGTATAGTTGGCAGGAGTTTAAAAAAAAATCCGATTTTATATTACTCACGGATTTCAATGTTAAACCAGTGATATTACGATTTCGTATGTCCCATCTTTAAGGGGATGTAGGAAAAAACGCGTACAATTCTTGTATAATGTTAAAAAATTAACTATTACTTTGGTAGCATAATTTACAACGAAATTTAATGAATGAGAGAGACACGTACAGAAAAAGCTCTAGAATTTATTTTCCTTAAATTTACGATTTATGTGTACGTTTGTCATAAAAATTTGTCTTTCCACTTTTTCCCGAGACTACAAATATTCGAGTACAAAGTAACCGATTTCGACTTATTTCTACTTAAGAAGTAGTTAAATAATTAAGCGATTAGGGAATTGAGGACATAAATAAAACCCTGCTGAAAGAGCCGGAATATTACTTAAACAAAAGCTTAACCGACCCAATCTCTAGCCGAGTACAGTGGGACTGATTTCTTCGAAATATTAGATGTAATAAAGACAGACATTTTTCCAGTTCGACGAGAGTGATCGAAAAGTTGTAAATTTTGGAAATTGGACAACACCTGGTCGTAAAACGAATTAATTAGAAAATAAACGACGGACAATCTATTAAGTTTTACATATTTAGACTTTTACAGCTATAGTGAGAAACGTTTAAAATTTACAAGAACCCTGTCGCGTCTTTTGAGGTATATTAGTGATGCGACAAAAGAGGCATTTGACATTAACCGGTATGGGCACCCTCGGTATTTGGCAGCCCGCGTGCATGTACGCACCACACACCAAGCAGGACCGTCTCTGATTCCACTCGTAGGTAGCAATTTGACTAAGTGGTTAAGATTTAAAGAGTAAAGAATATTTTATGTTATTTTTATGTACGTTTCATTACAAAGCTATATTTAATTATAATTTTCTTTAAAAGTACGAGTATATTCGTACAATTGAAGAATGTTTTGTACCAAGTATGTATATCCACCACACATTTTATTTCACCGAGTAAGTTTTTATAATTTTGTTTTTAATTTTAGCCCTTATATAGTGGCTAGCGATTCGGAATGTAATTGCGATATTGAACATTTATTTTAAAAAAGTTTTGGCTCGAGATCATATAATGAAAAAGAAAACATTATTAAAAGAGAAAGGCCAATGCCTAAGTTAAATATAAACACTTCAATAAAAAATTTATTCGACATTTTCACGATAAAATGGCTCTGTAAATGCATAAAAATGCA